AGAAAGTACTTCTTACCTGGGGTTCTTGGCCTTTGACTTAATCTGACCTTTTGCATCTGGTCCTGTGTAGTAGCTACGTGAGCTACCGTGGCTAGTCCTCTCCTGGCGCCTTTGCACAGACCTCGGTCCTCAGGGACCGCCCTGTCACCCTTCTGTTTTCACTGTATATATCACCCATGGCATGCCACATTCCCACCCCGCAGTAGAGGTTTTATGACACAGTATGTGTCAACACACGTTTTTCTCATGAAAGTTTCATTCTCTGATGAAAAGTGCACAGTGGAGACTAGTCTTCTGTGGTGGGTAACGCCCTTATCATCACAGCTTTGTTTTAGGGATGTCCCCTCTCTCTGGACTATTTGGTGAAGAGCCAGGGCAGCTGGAAGGGCAGTGGGCCCCAGGGCCATGGTCTGTGGCTCGTGAGGGCCGGGGGTACGGAGGAAAGGGTGACCGTGAGCAGGGCAGGTAGGGCGCAGCCGGGGCCAGGAAGCAGGGCGCACTGTGGAGCGAGAGGAACGCTGGACCGGTGGCCAGAACTCTGCCGTCAGGAGAGACGTGCTGTGTGCAGAGACTGAGCCGGAGAGAGCGCGAACGCCGGGAAGGCTGGCGTCAGGCGGCCAGAGCGAAGCTGAGCGCCGGCCTGAACACCAAAGGTGCGCGGAGGACAAGAGGAGAACGTGATTCTTTGGACACCCTGGAAGTGTTTTCCAGCACAGCATGTCCAAGATCGGCCTCACCCTCGTCTCTCTGTGATCGCCCTTACTTCTGGTAATAACAAGCTGTACCCCGTTGCCCAGCCTTGAAATCCCCGCGTCTTGTTGGCGTCCCGTTATCTCTGCCTGTAGTCACTCACTGGGGCTCGGGAGACACTACCTCCACATGGGAAGCCTTGGCGTGCCAACCGTGGCTCTTCCACACTAGGACTGGGGTAGGGCCACTTAACCTCTGAAAGTCCCCTGTGAGCCCACAGTGCTGGGAATTAGAGGGAAGTGGCGAAACCCGTGGTGACCCCTCAGCGGGCCGTTGCAGTGCTCGGCAGCTCGGGGGCCCGCCTCCTGCTCGGCCTCCCCACCTCTTCCAGCTTGGTCTTCTAACTACAGCACTCTGATCGTGGCTCATCCCAGCCCAGAAACCTCCGCGGCATCTTCATTAACTATTGGCAGGAAGCCCCAGGCGCCTGTCCTTCTCCTGAGGGCTCTCCACCGTCTGGCTGCAGGCTGCATTTCTTTCCTTTTTTTTTTTTTTAAGATTGATTTATTTATTTCAGAGAGAGAGAGAGGGAGAGAGAGTGATCATGAGTGGGGCTAGGGGCAGAGGGCGAGGGAGACAAGCAGACTCCCCCCTGAGCCGGGAGACGGACTCGGGGCTTGATCCGAGGACCCTGAGACCATGACCTGAGCCTAAATCAGGAGTCCCATGCCCAACCAGCTGAGCCACCCGGGAGCACCCCCCCCCCCCCAGCCTGCATTTCTGTTCTCATGCACCTATACTCGGCTTTGCGAGCTGTGTCCAGCCTCATCGAGCTACTCGCTACATTCAGTACAGGCCCCTGTTGCAGCGGCCCTACTGAGACCTGAATGCGCTCTTTCCCATACCGCTCTGGGTCCAAAACCTTGCCGTCTTTCCAGCCCCTGTTCAAGTGCTCCCGTCTCTGCTACAGCTTCCTGGGTCCCTGGTCTCAGCCTCAGGCTTCAGTAATTCCTTCCCCTGAACTCCCATTTGTCCTTCTCTGAACTCTTGGCATGCTTACTGCTGTATGTTTTGTGTTATTTGGGCACGTGACTTATTTAACGTCGTATTCTGAGTCCTGGAGAATTCTTCCCGAGCACTTAGCACAGTGCCTTTCTGTTGTTGCAGTTAGTAAATGTATTGTGATGAGTAAACCAGGCATGGGGATAACAACAACCTGATTACGAGTTGACAGACGCTTTCTCCACTGAATATCCTTAGCTCCCTTGGCAAACATTATTTGACCATGTATGCATGAGCTTTTTCTGGGCTCTCAGTTCTTTTCCACTGGTCCATGTGTCTGTTTTATGCCGGTGCTACACTGTTTTGGTTACTGTAAATTTGTCATAAAATCTGAAATCAGAAAAAAGAAAACAGGAAGAGTCGACAGATGCGTTGGAACTAGGACAGGGGAGCAGCGCCATCCTTCTGGCTCAGACCCAGCAGCCAGGTCATGTTCCCAGCCATCCACGAGAGCTTTTATATGGTTCCTGTGGAGGTGCGAAGAGGTAAGCGAGCTGAAGCGAGCTCACCTGAGTGGCCGTTATATGCCAGTCACCCTTCCTAGTTGTTTTACTTGATTTACTCGTTTGAACCCCAGGCAGGTCACATTCTTCCCTTTATTCTTTGTTGGCTTCTTGTTACTCCGCAACACTAGCCCTGTGGAATCCCTAAATGTGTCCTGCATTTCCTTACAGGGGCGCACTGCCCTGCCTCCTCCCTCCCCCCTCGGCTAAGCTTTGTCTGAATCCCAGATCTGTGTCTTCCCTTTTCAACCTGAAAACCGACCCGTTGCGATTAACAGTGAATATGCTGTCTTTGTATGGCGCCTTACTTTTTCAAAAACACATTCTTAGGTTGTTTCATCTGATTTTATTTCAGCCCATAATCTTTGGGCTGTCTTTTGCGAAGACTAGAGGGAATGAAATGCCAAGAAAACCAGACAGTTTGTATAAAAGTGCGTCTTTGCCAAACATCACATGCCAGTTGTAGGATTAACTCCTACCTTCCTTTAAGCTTTAGATGTGTTCTGAAAATCTTTCTTCAAATACAGTTTGGCTAACCACACTCTCCAAAATGTACTATGAAGTTTCTTGTATCTCTGAAGAGAAACAAGAAACTAGTAGTTCTTTTTTTTTTTTTTAAAGATTTTATTTATTTATTTGACAGACAGAGAGAGAGCCAGAGAGCACAAGCAGGGGGGAATGGCAGAGGGAGAGGGAGAGGGAGAAGCAGGCTCCCCACTGAGCAGGGAGCCCAACGCAGGGCTCGATCCCAGGACTCTGGGATCATGACCCGAGCCGAAGGCAGACGCTTAACCATCTGAGCCACCCAGGCACCTCAAGAAACTAGTAGTTCTAATAACCACTGTGGGGAGGGTGATTGGTGGATAGCAATAGGATGGAGACTGACTCTTCACTATATGCCCTTTTGTACCTTAAAAAAATTTTTAACCACATGCTTGTAGTATTTATTTTTATTAGCTCTCTATATATGTACATACATATATCCATACATGTGTATATGTACATTCGTTTTACATACCTATAACGTATGTATGTATACTCTGAAATTGCTGTTCCTTCTCATTATTACAACTTTTTTTCAAAAAGCAGTCAGACCCTATGAGACAATTTGGAAAAAAAGAGGAAGAAAAATAATTATTCCAAATCCTACAATAATCCTAAAACAACCACTTCGGATTGCCATTGAAGAATGAATTCTGGGGCGCCTGAGTGGCCCAGTCGGTTGAGCGTCTGACTCTTGATTTTGGCTCGGGTCATGATCTCAGGGTGCTGGGATCAAGCACCATGTTGGGCTCCATGCTCAGCACAGAGTCTGCTCGTCCCTCTCCCTCTGCTCTTCCCCTGCCCCATCCCGCTCTCTCTCAAATTAAATAAATAAATAAATAAATAAATAAACGTTTTTTAAAAAAGGAAAATGAATTCTGGAGTGGATGTTTTGTCGAACAGACAACCTGATGCTCCCTGGGAACCTCTTCTGTAAATAGGTATACCAAATACGAATCTTATAGTAGGATATGCCTTTAGTTACTGCTTTAAAAGAATTTCCTCTACGTAATCTTCATGGTTATGCATTTTCTCCTCCCCATTTTGACAAGAGTAAAACTCAACACCAAAAGGAGAAAAAACAACCCAGTCTCATCGCGAGCCTCACCTAAACTCTCCCCACACCTGCCCCTCCAGCCCGACCACAGTTGGTACACATCGGTAGCATGCAGTTAGGAAGAATAAAGGAAGTAGAAATGCATGAGTAGAACAGCCAGAATTTTCCTATTGGTCGGATGTGGGGATAAGGAAGATGTTAAAGTAAAGCCCAAAGATAATCAGGTTTCAAGTATAAACAGGAGGCTAAGAGATTAGGTTTTGGAAATAAAAATTTGTGGATGCAGGTTGTTAGCTGCCTGATCTTCAGTAATATTCTTTACCCCCAAGCCTCAGTTTTCTTGTCTATAACGTGGGGATAATTTAGTGCCGAGTTCACTAGGTTATTGGACAGCTTAAGAGAGAGAGACTCCACGTAGAGCACTTAGCATAGTGCCTGAGTGTTTTCCACTTTTAATTATTAATGGTGATGCTATATTTTAAAGATAGAGAACATATAAAGAGGAGCAGAGATGGGAGATGGTGAGGGAAGGTGATTTCCATTCAGATGAGCTAAGTTTGAAGTACCCGAGGGATGTGTACTCTGTGGTATTCAGAAGGCAGAGCCTTGGGCTTGGGTGGAAAGGGGCTCAACCTGTGCCACAACGGGAGGTTCGAACCTGGCTCGGCTGCTGTGGCTTTGCATTCATTCTCCCACTCTGTTCCCTAGCTGGTCTCAAGGCTCAGATTGTCTGACCCTGTGAAAATGTTTGATCACCTGGAAAGACTTGTGGTTGCTTATCAGAGTGCACTGGGCTAACTGGAGAGTTTGTTTGTTTTTCCCACCTTGGGCATCGGTGTAAGTCGGTGTGGGTGTATGTCGGTGTGGGTTGCTCGTGGGTTGCTCGCTGCTCTAGGGCTTCCGCCCCGAGGCGTCAGGAGGTGGAATCTGCCTATCGGCCGCCACCAGACCCCAAGCCCCTGGCTACCTCCCAAGGGCCCACAGTGCTTCCGCCTTGGGAATGTTCACCCGCTCCCTCAGGGGGGGTGGCTTAGTGTTGAACAGGAGGGGCCTCTGTTGAAGTTAAATTTCACATGGTCAGTTTAAGTTCCTATTATAGGGACCATATCCTGGGGGTACTTAAATTTTTTTCTTTCTTATTGCAGATCATCAATGCTGTGGTGCTGCTGATTCTGTTGAGCGCCCTGGCTGATCCAGACCAGTACCACTTTTCAAGTTCTGAGCTGGGAGGCGACTTTGAGTTCATGGATGATGCCAGTAAGTACATCAGATAGCAGTTGTAGATCTTTGGGTATTTTTCAAGGGCAGGGAATCCTGCTACCAGGTCTTCCTGTTAAATTACAAATATTGATTCATGGGCCCATTTCAACTGATACTTCCCTTTCTTTCCATCGTTACAAATTAGATCAACAAATATTTATGTGTTGCTCGTGCTCTGCCTTTGTTCTAAATGCAGGAGTCTAAATAAGATCTCTTTCCTTTTTCACCTTACATTAACTTTCCCATTTTTTAAATTATTGCTTTGTCATAGTCTTTTTACCCTGGGCCTTTTGGCCTTTTTGAGAGGAAGCAAGGTCAAAAGGATCACACATATCTATCTCATTGTGTCTTCTTCTTCTTCTTCTTTTTTTTTTTTTAAAGATTTTATTTATTTGAGAGAGAGAGGATGAGAGAGAAAGCACAAGGGTCAGAGGGAGAAGCAGACCCCCTGCCGAGCAGGGAGCCCGATGCGGGACTCGATCCTGGGACTCCAGGATCATGACCTGAGCCGAAGGCAGTCGCTCAACCGACTGAGCCACCCAGGCGCCCCTCACTGTGTCTTCTATTATGTTTCTGTATTTACCTTTCTTGTAGGAGATGATCATTCTCTGTTCCAGAAGCTGTTGCTCATTATTTGGTAGACTTGGGCCTTTTTCCAATAAGTAGAAACATACACAGGAATGTGGATGTGGGATAGGCCAGAAGGAGGTGAGGCACCCAGCTCTAAGATCATAGACACCTGAACATTTCATAATTACAATTGTCGGTGTCCACACTGACTGAAAGGGTCAGTGTTGTGCATAATCCCAAACAAAAGATCACGCAAATTTAATTGTCATTGGCTTTGGAGAACTGTAAATGCATTTAAAAATAAATGTTGGGGCAAATGAGTAAGGTGGGGAGACAGTGACTCAAGATGCAGTTTTAGGGATAGACCGGGACCATTCGGAAGACCGTGAGGCTTGTGGGTTCTATTGCCAGCATGAGAAAATCGCTGTTCGGTGATTTTTAGTGATTCAGCGGTTATGCACTGATGTGTGTTTTATGGAGACCCCTTCTGTTGCTGAGTGGAGGATGCATTTAGGAGACTGGTGTGTGAGCATAGAAGTCTGGAGACTAGTTTGGACGTGTTTCCCTGAGATCCAGCCTGCACTGAGGATGGGGAAGAGGGTGGGTTTTGGAGGCAGGATTGATAGACCTTGTTAGTGTGGGTGAGGAAGGAAAGGGAGGAATCAAAGATGATCCCTGCTTTCCAGCTTGAACAAAAGACCAATCTTCAGTCGGAGGAGAGTCTGGGGTCAGGAGATGAGCACGTGCCTGGGTGAGGGAGCTCGACTTTGCTTTAAGTGACTCAGCACGGTTGTTAGGAGTCTAGGCTCTGAAGAAGAAGACCTTAGTTTGAATCCTGACCATGCCATGTATTAAATATGTTAACATGGGGCTACTTAGTTACCTTTGTGTGCCTTCCATTCCCCCACTGAGAGGCAGGGCTGATCGTAGGATCTGCCTTGTGGGATTATCATGGTGATTAAATCAGTTAGTACATGAAAAACGCTTAGAAGGGGTCTGGCCCATAGTAAGTGCTTGGTACATTTTGCTGTTTTACTAACCATTCTTATTTAGGTATGTTCCAGCTAAAACACGAGCTGTCTTAAAGTGGAGAGATTAAAAAGGTGGTTGGGTATGTGACTCTGTAACCCAGAACCCAGATGTCTGGGCTGATGTAAATTTGAGGACATCAGCCTAGAAATGGTATTTATGTTAAGAACATAGTGAAGGGAAAAGGAAAGGGCTCCTAGATTGAGCCCTATAGGTGCCCCAACAGTAGAGGTCAGAACAGGAGCCTGAGAGCAACTGGTAGTGAAGTAAACAGAAAATCAGGAGATGCTTGCTTGCTTTTTTTTTTTTTTTTTGAAGGTTCCTCACAAGTATTCCTCTAGAATACTAGAGGAGGTAGAATAACTTTATTTTTTTTTTTTAAAGATTTTATTTATTTACTTGACAGAGAGATAGAGAGCACAAGTAGGCAGAGTGGCAGGCAGAGGGAGAGGGAGAAGCAGGTTCTCGATCCCAGGACCCCGGGACCACGACCCGAGCCGAAGGCAGCCGCTTAACCGACTGAGCCACCCAGGCGCCCCCCCCTTTTTTTTTATTAAAGATTTATTTATCAATTTT